TTCTTCAGGATACATAATGAAGAATGCTCCAGCTTTGCCAGTTAATTGCTTCATGGCTGTTGTTTGTCAATTTGCCAGCAGGTTTCTGCTTAACTGCTGCCATTTGACATTGCTGAAACACAAATGCAGAATGATTGAGTTGCCAACATATCATTGAGTCTTCTGCAAGGGGGATTTTCAGCATATTAACGCTTCAGGCTTTCATGTCAGTATTGATTGCTGAAATAGAAAAGAAACCTTTGGCAGTATTCAGCATTGTGCCAGCATGGATTTAGTGGCAGGAAAAAGAAACTGGCTGTTGCCATTGATTGTGACTTCATTCTTTCTTTCTTCCTTTCTTAATTTTTTTTATTTCTATACACACCCACACAGAGTTTTGAAAATTAATACACATCATAGCCAAATGCCAGCTACCCTCACAATAAACCAGCAGGGCAAATCAACTACTTGATGCAGTCAGATGTCAAGGCTGCTTAATTTTGCAGCCACCTGCATTATGCCCAACCAGATTTCGTGGCAGCTGGGGAGGGGGGTGATGACAGGGGCTCCTCACAGTGAAGCACAGGTCAAGAGCTGACTTGGAGGAAGGCAGTGGGGTGGTGTTTTCTGCTGAGCTCCTCACGGGACAGCCAGGTTGCCACCACATTGGTCCCTGGATGCAGGAGTGGCCATTGTGAAGCTAGGTGGCATGGGGAGAGGAGCAGCATGATGCTGCTGGGGCCAGGCTTGGAAAGGGAGTGCCCCTCCCTGGACATAGTGAGGCAGAAAAAGCCAAGATGGATGAGCAGGGGCTTGGGTGGTGGAGCAGGGGGTGAAGTGCATGGCGAGGGTGTAGAGCAGTGGCTCAGTGTTGTCCACCAGCAGTTGCTGTGGCAGTGCTCATGCATGGAATGGGCACAGGAAGAGTAAGAAAGTTTTGCCCTGATGAAGCAGGGAGCAAGAGGAAGGTGTGAGCCTCCTGCAGCTGCTGGAGGAACACCTCTGTGTGCTTTGCCTGGCCTGAACCTTGCCTGTCCCTGCTTTGGTTTAGTCCAATCTCTTAGATGATACTTTATATCCTGTTTCAGATTGGAAGGTTTTGTAGGAAGGACCACCTGAGCATTCTGAAGGTGATGATTTCTGACTGAAATGCTGTTGCGTGGAACAAAGACCTGAGGGGAAGTAGGACAGGGCGTGGGCCAGAATTTTGAACATAAAATGGGAAGGACGTGCTTACCAGCAGGGCTGGGGGAGTTTGCACGTCAGTCAGAGATCAGTCCAGACCGACTGCTTTTCCCCTGAGTTGGGGAAGTCAAGTGAAGAAGGGGAGGGTGGATAGGCCAGATTGCCGATGAGGAAGATAAACAGGATCAGATGAAGTGTCCTAAGAACCACACTACAAGTAGCAAACAGCAGCAGAGATTGTTTTTATTCTATTTCTGAAAGATGCTTAAAGCTCCCTCCTTTCAGATGTAGTTCAGAGGAACTTTCTGAATCTGATCTGCTTCTCACTTATGAATTAACCAAAAATAGGAATAATAAAGGGAGATTTCCAAAAATGTGCTTCTTAGGAACCATTAAAATAATGTGACCATGAGAAGTCTACTGCAAGCTAGATCTTTTGGCCAGGATATATCATCAGAGAAGCTTCAAGAGTTTATCTTGGGTGTTTGGGGTTGGTTGGTTGGTTTGGGTTTTTTGGGGTTTTTTGTGGGCTCCTTTTTTTGTAATTGTGATATTAAATTTCTCTCTCTGGTTGGTTTGAGCAGATACTTAAAGCTTTAGAGCAGAACAAGTAGCTTTATTTGCAAAGGATTAAAGGACACTGGTACCTGGGCCACAGTAAATGCAAGGTTTATGTGGGATGCTCAAATCAAAATGGGTACATAGAGCCTTACAGAAAGGCTGGGAAATGTCTCAATTTTTCAGTAGGATGGTATCTTTTCCACTAAATAACATGTTCACCTTAAAAAGTGTCTCTACAGAGTTTTTAATTGAAAAGCTGTGATTCAGAATTAGAAAAGCTGTAGCTTATAATTGGAACAGTTTGTTTTGGAAGTCCTTCCCACTCTCATTTGTCCAGACCTTCTCTGTGTAGGACAGTTCCTAGATGACACGGTCCACAAATAAGCCCATGAAAGAGAAGAGGAACACAAGCAGCTAAATTGCAAATTCTCACATTAAGGGGAATAAATCTTTGAATAAAATAATGCCAGATTTCAAATTTATGTCTGGCAGTTGGTTTGTTTTTCTTAAATGTCTTCATTTGCATCAGGTGAAGGTAAAAACAGGGACCTGAATCATCTTCTAGCCAGATCTATTCATTATCAATGAAAGCCCAGCATGTGTTGCATAAGAATTTCATTGATGAAGTGTGCAATGGAGTAAAATCCACTTTCTTCTCTGTAGCACTGGGGGCTTGCCTTTTTACGTAGTAAAAATAAGGCTTGGGAAGAGAAAGCAGCTAAAATGTAAAGAGTGGTCTGACCTTGAATTGCTACAAAGCTCTTGGGAATAGGAAGGTCCTGTCTTGGGTAAGTGATACAGGGTGTGTTTGCCAGGCATGTGTCTGGATCAGCAGTGTGCACCTGGCAGAAGTCTCACTTTGATAAATTGTCTTCTCTCAGCATGAATAAAAGTAATGATTCTTTTATTTCTAAATTACTACAAGGCTCTGTAGTCTTTCAGCTTATTGTGGGGTTGTTTTTTTTTTTTTCTAGTTTTGAATGAGTAATGCAATCTATGCTTTACCTAAGGAGTTTGATGGTATTGTATGCTTAATCTTTAAAATGCTGTGTAGGGAGGAAGAGCTTTGCTTTCAAGGGAAATAACCATCCTGGCAGAGAGAAAAATATCAGTAGGATACTGCCACTGATTTGGCAGAGACTGTTTGATGCTTTGTTAGCTGGCTGTTGATTTTATGCTTTTTTTAGTTATGTTTGAAGGAGCTTCCAAAATAATTGGTCTTTAAATGGGTAGCTCCATTCAGATACAGCAAAATCCAGAAGAATACAGAGCAAACAGAGGAACTGCAAATTGCTAATGAGAAAAATTAGAACTGGGGACACATCTGAATGAAATTAAATCCCCCTCCAGGCAACATGGTTAGTGCTCTGAAGAGCTGTGCCTGTTTGCCTCTCTCCTTCACTGCTGGCTGTAGGTAAAAAGATCTGTCAAACAGCTTTCGAAGACCTGCACTGGTAGTAAAGCCTTTCCTAATGAAAACGAGTAAGTTAGCGCCTGTGTGTGAAGGTGCATTGAAGAAAGTTACTCTTTGATCAGTGTGGTGTCGGCCGGCCGTAGTGGCCATCTGGCGCCCAGCAGCGGGCGAGGCGCTGGCCGGCAGCGCAGGCAGCGGGCTGTGCTTCTCCTCCTCCTGATGAAAGATACAGGTGTAAGAGCATAAAACCCACCCCACCAAAGCAGGTCTGTTTAATGCACCCATCGGAATTGAAAAATGCCTCTGCTTGTGGCTTTAACAAATACAGTGAAAAGTCATCCCAGCATCTCATTTTCTGGAAATGCAGTGTTTCTGTCAGGCCACTCCACCTTCCCCCTGGGGAAAGCATCTGAGTGTTATTTTAGGCACAGGAATTCATCCAGAAGTACAGGCATAAGAGACACTTAGGGGAATACCAGGGTGTTTTATTAAATATAGCTTTACTTTTTCATTGTCCCTATAGGACACCCCATTGACAAGCATGATGCACAGCAGGGAACAGAGTACTCAATTGCATGTGTATGCAAAGAAAACAGTGTCATTTTTGTAAATACAACTCTGAAAAAAATAGATGCTTACAGAAGGTTGATTTTACAGGACCCCTCTAACATCCCTTGTGTTCTGTGCTGCTATATATTTGCAAGCTGACTCATAGTTCAAATTAAATAAAATGAAAAATGGTACAGAATAATACAGAAATTCACCTTTTCTTCTCCAGTATGGGTTAAAGAACTGCTGTAGGGCCAAAGCAACAGGAAGCTGTATCCAGCACTGTTACCCCCTGCTAGGTGGGGCTCAGCAAGAAGAGGAGCAAGTAGACAGGGAGGACAGGGGCTTCATAAACTGGTACTTCCACCAAAATGTTGTCCATGCAGTCACAACCTGGGTGAAATAATCTATCTTTCACTGGGACAAGATGAGCTCTGGGAAGAATTCTTCACACTCAAGTGGCTTCCATCAAATAGGTTTCACTCTTTCATCATACCAAACAATGAACTTTTTAGGTTGTTTTTTTTTTAACGGGCCATGATTTTTTAGTAAGTTTGTTTAATTCTTTTAATGACAGTGAAAGCTTCAGAGCTCTTTTTAGTTCTAAAAGAAAGATTTGAGGCATTCTGCCTATTCCACTTTTCCACAAGGACATTAATTCATAAGCAACAAAGAATATTATAACTGTTTACAGTAGCCCTCAGTGAGTAGCAAGAGACTTGGGGATTTTGAAAGAAATAAGAGTATTTGGTTACAGAATCGAAAGCTAAACAAAAAGCTTCAGATTCAAAAATGTTTAGAGTTGCTCAAACAAATGCAATGAAAAATTACCAATTTGCCAGCTTTTGTAACCCTGTGAATCATCAAGCTTGTATTGTTTTGTTTCTCTTCTGAGCTTCAGAAACCAAAGCAACCCTGAAGGTCAAAGTGTCTAATATTTTACCTTTAGACATATCCAAGTTTAGTTGTTTAAACACATAGTTCTGCTTACATAGCATATTTTGCAAATTAAGGGATGCTGCTTGGTGGGGTAAGAGGTACTGCAATTTTCAGCTGAGCTACACGAGATGGACAGTGTCTTTTCTGATGTAACACACCTACCTTCTCAGGCTTACCATCATACACATCCTAGTTTTCCTGAGATCCAGAGTACAGCATTATGGGGCAGTCTGCTGCAGTCATTGGGGTAATTTGGTAAATGATCATGGCTGATCAGTTTGCTTCTAGCTAAATAATGACTTTAAGAAAGATATTGGTGCTGGCTGGAGATTGCTTAAAGGTGTTTGTTTTTTTTCCCCAGAGTGTTTCTCAGCTTCCCTATGGCAAAGCCCTTTACACATATGAGGGAAAAGAGCCTGGTGACCTCAGGTTTAACAAGGGGGACATCATCATCCTGCGGCGCAAGGTGGACGAGAATTGGTACCACGGGGAGCTCAATGGGAACCATGGCTTCTTCCCCGCCAGCTACATCCAGTGCATCAAGCCTCTCCCACAAGCTCCACCTCAGGGCAAAGCACTTTATGACTTTGAAATAAAGGATAAAGATCAAGACAAGGATTGTCTGACCTTCACCAAGGTAGGGGAATAGATTTTTAAAAATCGTTCAGAAGTCTGCTTTGGTAGGGAGTGATGGGGCACATGTGGTGCTGGCAGCTGGGTCGGGAGCACAGGGGTGCTGAGGTGGGTGGGACACCTTCCTGGTCTTCCTGGCCTCCCTGACCTACCCTGCACTCTGTGAGATAGCCTGTGCCATGAATAGCAAGGCTGATATAAAGCCAGGGAAGCTCAACAAGTAGAACTGGCTACACACTTTCTGAGAACATTTTTTTCCCTCTAAAGAGCATGCATTTCATCTGCATTGAAATGTTCCCCAAAAATAACTCAAATTTCAGGAAAAAAAAAATCTACTGGAAGTGTGTCTTTTAATATTCCTTATTGGATCAGATGTTCCAGTGTTTTAAAATTGCATTCAGCTTCAAAATGTATATTGCATCATACCATATACCAATTAGCAGTTGAAATACACTAGCATCATAATAGTATTTCCTATTTTAAGAATGTAAAAACAGTAAAAAGCAGACATTTAAAAAACATTCTTTGGGTTTTTTTAAACCAAAATGTTTAATAAATTCCCATTGGAATGAGAGAAAACTGAGATATTGTAATTTCCTTTGGATTTAAAATGTCACGTTTTCCCTTTCACTCCCACCTCCCCACCTGCTTTTTGCCTCCCACTCCCCTCCCTAGCAATTTGTGTTGACCTTAGATGGGTTTCATGGATATCAAGAAACCCACTGTAAAATAAATCATATCCCCTATTGTTAATTTATGGCAGTGAATGCCATGAAGAACCTGTTCATTGTCATTTTCTGTTTTATTTCAGCTGTCTGCGGCTGTTATAGTATCACATAAAGTAATAACAGTTATGCTGAAAATGAATATGAAATAGATGGTAAAAATATCCTTCACCAGGATTTTACTGACCTCCTCTTTTGAAGCTACTTATTATAGCTGAATGAATTATTTGCAGCATATAATTTTCTCACCGAATGTAACATCTTTTTCACTCATGCAGTGCTTCTCAGCAGAATGCAATTTCCTAGACTGTATACTTTCTCATATTTATTTAACAAAGGATTTGTAAGCACTTTTGTTCCATAGCAAGTGAAGTGTTTGATTGCAAACACTGCAAACCCTGCGACTAACCAGCCTCCCTGGAGCTGTGAATCTCTGTGAGAAAGTGGGCTGCTTAGTGAGAAGTAACAGCCATGCACTAACAGAAAGTTAGCCAGAAGTTACCTCTGAGACCTTATCAGTAAATATATATTTTCTGGTGTGTTGTTTTTCTCACTGCCTGCCCAGAGGTACACTGGTGACTTCTCTGAGATGCAGTCTTTCTTGTCTGCTTAAAGTATTCCTTGCTTTCCCTTACAGTCTTAAGAAATTTAATAGGTATGCCAGGCAGTTGTGGTCTTTTTTGTTAGAGCAGGTCCCTTCCTAGACACTTTTGTATTTGATATATTTGGTGCCATATATTAGAAAACCTCCTTTACAATAACTGCCTTTGTATAGTGATAGTTCTCATTTTCTCGGCTGTCCAATGTCATTCTCACATGGAGCATTTCTTCCTGCTGTATAGCTCTACTCTCAGTCTCTCAGTTCTCCTTGTTTTCACCCCTCGTGTTACTGTCGGCATCCTTTTATCCCTGATGACTGTGTTTTCCCCAGGGGGGTTTGGTTTCTTTTCTACTGCTGTTTTCTTCTTTAGCTCCTTCCACTACACACACTGTCACCTTGTAACAGTTTTTATGTCCTGCCTATTGTTCTCCCTGACAGTGAATAATCTATTTTTCATCTTGGGACTTCACCATCATGTTTTCATCAATTTTCTCAATGCTAATTTTAGCTGTCACCTGTGCTGATGAAGGTTCCTGTTTAGCCCAGATTATAGATCATCTGCTGATGCAGTCAGTTCCTTTGCACAGAGTCCTGAGCACTGCAGTGCTGTAGATGTGATTTGTCACTTTGAGCAACATGCATCACTTGAATGTCTCAGTTTGTATCTGAAGATGCTGGACCACATCTCAGTTTCATCTGCACTATTTTTCCTTCCTCTGGTGGAGGGGTTACATTGGCATAACAATTATACAAGTAATATAACCTATTTGTGTACTGCAACTCATTCAAAGCTACCAGACACTTGTGACTGGATTTTACTTATAAACACGTAATAAAGAAGAGTTTTCCTCTAAAGAGAAGCTATAAGAAGGAAACACAAACATAGGGATCTTCTATATCATGTTGTTTTGTTGTTCTTTTGCTGGACTTTGCTTTTTCCCATCCCCCTTGTTGCTACGCACTCAGAATATCTACTGGTACAGTAAAAGAAAACAAAGAAAGGATATTTGGTGTTTCCTCTTACTAATATGTTTTGCTACAGTTTTCAAAATGAAAATGTTCTATTGTTCCAGAGGTGTGTTGCAAGTAAATGAAGTCTACTTTACACAGATCTTCATGAAGAGTGCTGAAGGGTGCTTCTGCCATTTGCCTGTTTTCATCTCCTGTAGATAAAACACTCTCCAAATAAAAGGCCAAAGATGTAAATTTCAAAATTTTTATGTGTAAGAATAAAATCAGGAGCAGCAGACAAATAACTGTCATGAGTATCCAGTGCAAAAAAAAAAAGCTCCCACATGTCATTATTTTATACCATTTGGACTTCTCCCTCAAGTTCTCTTCCCAGAGAAGCCATACATACAGGCATAGGGCCTCACCTCTGTTCTCTCCTCTGCCCTGTCTGTAAGATGATAGAACAGCCTAGATTTCCTACTTAATATGTTTTCTCTCACTGTTTGGCAGTGGTTAGCCAAGCCAGGCAATTATTTTTCCTGTGTAACAACTGGTTCCAGCCTTGTGTCAACTTTGCACCAATTTAATGCCAGTAGTTTCAGAAGGTTTACTCCTGATGTTCCCTAGTGCAGTTGTGATCATGCTGTGGCCTACAGAGCCTAATTGCATGCTCTTGGGATATACTTCTTAGCTCAGCTTTCTAATCTCTCCGAACGTGGTACCACAGTATGGACATGGGATCCTGCTGTCTCTGTTTTAAAAAATAATCTGTCCTCCTCTGGGCTGTGGACACTGGTACAAACCATGTACAGGAGGATTCTGCTCTCAGGTATAGCAGTGCAAATCTGAAGTAGTTCCATGACTGTCCATGTAGTTGCTCCAGCCTTACACAGAATCCAGTTTCAGCCCACACATTTGTTTTGGTGTTCAACCACCCTTTACATGCATGGCCTTCACATGGCCATCAGAAGGCTGAGCAACGCTGGTAGATGAGTCTCAAACCTGTCATGGTAGCATCAACTGTTCGCCATGCTTCATTGCTCATCACATTTTTAATAACATCAACTGTTTCCGTCATTTTCCAACACTTTCATTCCCAGCCCGCAGTGGTATCTAACAAGAGCCATGCCAATCTTAGAACCATCACATCCCATACTTGTTCCTGGCTCTGGAGCAGCCCCTTAGCATTCAGTTCCAGCAGCATTTGCTGTTCACAGAGGGACCATCCCAGCAATAGCTGGTGACAGGGTTTCTCGTGCCAGCTGGCAAGCGCTGTCACTGGCCTCACCAAGTGCCACGTGGTGCCATCCTGCCACTGCTGAGATCTCCCCAGTGCTCTAGATGGAGTAGTTATCTCTGTAGAATAGCAGGCACAGCTGTTCTGTATTGCTTCATTAATGGCCATTAATGACTAGAATAAAATCAGGCTGTGAATCATGACTGTTATTGGACACAATTTTGTGCTGTTTTCTCAGCAAAAGGATTCATTTCTCTGTCAATCAGATTGCTTTTTAAGTGATTTATCTTTGACTTTATTTCTGATAATGATTATAAACTGTAACTGCAGGTCCCACATGCCTGTCACAAGGCTGATCCAGCCCTGATGAATAGAGGGAAACTTGAGCAAGAAGGAGAGAGCAAATAATTAAAGGCTCTAGCAACAAGCATAAAAGGAGCACGACATATCTTTGTCCAAACTACAGTGGATACCATTGGCTTTTGAAATAAGATTTGAGGCTTGGATTCCTTTATGCTGCCTGGAAATCAATTTAGTCAATGTGAAATAGTGAAGTTCAGAAAGCTGAAGTGGTATGCCAAGAGATCTGTGGCGTTTTGCTATTCATGATCCTTTTGGGAACCTTTCTAGGAATTTATAAGTAGCACAGCTATCCAACTAATGTAAGGTTCTAAAATAGTTCATGCTGAAGCTTTCACCAGGTCACTGTATAGAATGATGTCGTTGGCTGCAAATTCAAAGAAACTTTCTAGAAATAAAAAAAAATCAAAAGATTTTTTGGGATTTGCTGTAATTCTGGAGATTTTCAACACCCTTCTTAAAACTAATTATGTAATGGAATTCTCAAGAATTTTCACTTTGCTTTCCCACAAAGATGCTCATTTTGAATGTCAGCATATCTCAGGATGCATTTCTCATATATGATCATATTCAGCAGCCAGACTTGGCTGAACCAGTGTGTTCAGTGTGTGAAAATGCTTCCAGATTTCATGCATCCATGGGAGGTAAAGCTGAAAGGGATCTTCAAAGGTCAGCCATTCCCCACCCCATCCCTGAGCAAAGTCAACACAGGATAAATCTTTCCTGCCAGGTGTCTGTACAGCCTGCTCCAGGGATGGGATTACACAGTGCCTCTAGCAAAATCTGGTAGAAAGCTTCTGGGGTTCTACAGTTTAAATTCTTTTTTTTTTAAGTTTCTTACATGTGCAAATAGATGCAAATATATATACATTTTTATGCAGCGCTGGGTTAATGGTTGGACTCGATGATCCTTTGTAACCTGAAGAGGTCCTTTGTAACCTGAACAATCTATGATTCTGTTCATACCCAAATGTATGCACTTACACACACCTAAGATTATATATGGGCATGTAGAGTAGACTTCATCACAGTTTGTGTTTTTAAAAAACTCCTTTAAGGAAACAGCTGAGCAAATATAAAAAGTAGGAACACTCATAGCAGGTCCCTGAAGTGATGCAATTGTTTCTTTTTCTCGTTTACACCCTTTACCTAGATTCTAAATTTATGCTGATCGGTCTTTTGTAAGAACATGTGGAAGCTTTGCAGAGATGCATTACTGTCAGTTCTTTAAACAGATCAAAAATGGTCTGTGCAGACAGGGCTTTGGAAGGGAATGCTATCTGTTTCTTCAGGAAATTAAATGCACAAATTCTTTTTGCATCCTTCCAGCTGTAATAAATAGCTGAAGGACTCAGTTTGTAGCCATTTCCATGAGCTTTCCCCTAATGGATCATTCAGATGAATAATTCAAAGGAAACATTTAAACTATTTCAGAGTGCACGTGTTCAAAATGCACATGTTCAAAAACTACAAAGTACATCACATCACATCCTTGTTCTGGTCATTTTTTTACCAATGCAAATCCGTAGTCTGAACATCCTGGATCAGGAATTTGTGGGGTTTTTTTCTATGTGAGAAGTATCTGCAAAAAAAGCAGCTGCCCTTGCCTGGCCATTTGACATCAGTATCTTGTTACAAGGAGCGTGGTAGACCATATGTAAGCTCTTATTTTCACAGAGTAGTGGGAAAAAAGTGAGATCGGCAGGGAACTCTGCCTCAGCTTTCTGGAGGAAGAGATTTTTTTTTTTTTTTGTAAATTTTTGCACAGGAGCAGAGAAATATTGGATGCCATGAGGGAACAAAGCTGACTTCCCAGCTTCTCTCAGCCTACTCCTTCCTTTTCTAGTAGGAGATTTGAGCATCCAGGCAGAGCCCCATTGAGAGGGCTGCCTTCCACAGCTGTTGTAGAAAACGGTGCTGGTTTATGTCTGGGTTTAGTATGATGACCCCAGAAGACAGGGATGGTAGCAGAAATCCATTGACAAACTGAGTAGTTCAAACTGGGAAAAGTCAGGGTTTTGTTCTAGTCATTTGAGTTTTCCTAATGACTTGTACGTTCTGGGTTTGAATTATTTGGTTTGTACTTTGTTTTATCTCTTGTTTTATAATCACAAAGAAGTTCATAATCTGCTAAAATTCTTAGAAGGTTCCCTAGATTAAATATAATATTAAAATGCCATTGGTTTTAGGAATTTAACTTTTATTTAAACTGAAGGTGTTCCAACAGGTGAATGCAATTTGGTTTTTTTGCTGTGTTATCTTTGGCTTTTTATCTGCTTTGCAATTTTACCTTATAATTCTATTTTAAAGAAAAACTGATATTCAGTGTGTCAGAAGCGTAGGCTTGTTGCTGAGCACCTTATACTATTCCTCATTGTGTTTTCAGGACTATCTGTGCTGTACTGGTGCTTCCCTTTGAATTTTGTTCCAGAGCAGATAAGGACCACAACAGACCCTTGGGTGCATGGGGGCAACTTCATGCTGAGGAGTTTTCATCTATAATTTACAGGTGACCTCTTGGGTCAGACATTCTTCTTTACCCGTAATGAAGCCAGGAGTTTTCTATTTTCACCTGCTGTGCCCAGACCCTTGGGGCCACTGACAGCCAGCATGAGCTGCACTGGTCTGCAGGGTGCTTCAGTGCACTTTGAGTGGGATGCCTGGGATAAGATGCTGGGCCAGGGATGCCGCTAGACCAGGATTCAGGAAACACTTTTACCTGGCTTAGGACCTCCTCTGTGTACTCACTCTCTAAGCTATAATGTGGGTAACTAAAAATTGGCATCTTTCTACTGAAAATATCTGATTATGTATTTTGTATATATCTCTGATTTTAGGATGAAATTTTGACAGTCATCAGGAGGGTGGATGACAACTGGGCAGAAGGAATGCTGGGTGACAAGATTGGCATTTTCCCTATCCTCTATGTTGAGGTAAGTTTAAAACACATGGTGGTGGATGCTGGTCTTGAAATCTTGTGGGAGTTTTGTGCCTACAAGGGCAGGATAACTTCAAATATATGAGAAGGATAAACTAAAACAGAATTACTGAAAAGGGAATTTTTGATTGCTGTTTGCTAAGGCACTATGGGGTACACCCAATTCAATTCAAAGCGTTCAGCAAAATATGTTCCATTAACTCCTTCTAAAGGCTTCTCCTTTGGTGTAATCTCCACAGTGCACAGGGAAAATAGGGCAGGATGTCTGCAGTCGGGATACCTTGCACATATTTGAGGAGAGATGTGAGTTTTGGGCTGGTGGAGAGCAGCAGGTTCAGCCGTGGTCTGAATGCACAGACCTTCAGAGGGGTGCTGAGGGTGTCCTCTGCCTCAGCAGGGGCTCAGGCACCTCCACCCATGTGCCCAAGGGCTCTCATTCCATGTGTGCCAGACCCATCTTTAACCTGAGCTCTTTCCTGTTGTAATTTTCACAGGATTCTTACTTCAGAGTAAATGCTGAGACTTCACTTCCTCTGTGCAGGCCTGTGGTTCCACCTATTCCCACTGCTGCCTGTCCTCCTGCTGGTGGTGCCCGTCCAGCCAGATACTTGGGACCAGGGCTGCAGCCAGCAGTGGTTGCCCTGCCGGTGCAGCTCTGTTGTCCAGGTGCCAGGTGGTGTCTTTGAGGAGCTTTCCTCCCTCGTGGGTCAACCAGGGGTGCAAAGACCAGAAGGGCACCACATGCAAGTGTACTTTTCTGAGCTGCTGCCACTCTGCACCCAGTACTCAGAGCAGTTTCACCCTGACTCTGCTTGCAGACATTGTCTGGTGCCTCTCTGTAGTGAAGAATCTCTAGTGCCCACAGCAGAGCCTGCTGTACTGTGTGTGGCTCTGGTGCCTGCCTCTGAAATTATTTCTCCAGATTTCTTAGTTAGTGATTGGAGACAAAATAGAGATAATTAGTATCTGACTACCTAATTATTAACTCTGACAATGACCAATTTGGAATAAACCATCATTAATATACATTGCATTCCCACAGTTGACAAGAACAAAAATATTAAAACCAGAATGTGTAGTAACTGTTATTGGGAAACCAGCTGCCTTGCATAAGTTAATGACTAGTTTTCTTCTATTCTGAATGTTTAAGACATGTTAAGTTTGTTGTGATTAAATTAGAAAGCTGGGTTTCTCCCAGATTTCATCCTTTTCCCCTTGTTTTTCTCATCCTGGGAAAGTACAGTGTTACTGTCCTGAATTCTGCTGGAGAAGAAGTGAACTGGGGATCTCTGCACGGCCAGCCACCATTGCACCTCACCACCTTTCCCCAGCTCTAGTTTCATCTGTAGGCTGGTACTGCCTATGCACTGTGCAGCATCCTCCCACTCCTAGGTATCTGTTCTCCATAATTGCTGCTCTTGAAGGGTGAAGGGCTCATAACCTCAGAACAGCCTGTAGGGAACATGTGCAATGTCTTGCTGAAGTTCTCCAAGCACTAGCACATCCTGGGTGGCCATGGAGGAGCAGGAGTTGTGCAGAGTCAGAACACTGATGCTTGCAGATTCTGAAGAGCTGCAAACAGGCAGGCAGCCAGCACCAGGGGCCAAGAACACATGTAGGAATGTCTGCATGCATATACATTCATACCAGACACACAAACATATTATATGTATATATATGTGTGTATGTATGTATATATGTATATATATATATGTATATATATGTGTATATATATATATGTATATATATCGTGTATGCAATTGTATACACTTATATGTATATTCATGTATATACACACACATGTATTTTATCTGTATAAATTTGAAATCTGGATACTCGAAAGGCCTATTCAAATGAGATACTTGGGTGCCACGGCCATAATATTTGTGCAGTGCTTTGTAAAACCAAAGGGAAGTGATTCTCCAGGCCACCTATTTCATCCACATAGTGGATGAAGGCTTTGTTCTGAATATGAGCTTATGCAAGTATTCAAGTTATACAATTATGTTTCTGTTGTCAGCTTCAGATGTTATTTTGCATTAAAAATTAAAAGGAATCAGCAGGTCAAGTCCCAAAGAAGTTTTGAAAATCTCAGTGCTGATATTTATAAAAGAAATCCATTAAACAAGTAGTACTTGAATGTAAAAACACTCCTCAAGTCTTTCCAAGTCCATTAAGTGGTTTTCAAAATCTTGGCAAAATGTGTAGAATAAGCAAAGTTTAATTCTCACAGTAGCCTTCTACTTGTGTCAGTTGATTGGCTGAAGTGTGTGGGATTTCACATGGCATCCTAAGCCCTGCACTCCGGATAGAGTGAATTCCAGCTTGGCAGCCTCTGATGTCCCCGGTTGCTCCCACGGCCCAGACAAGAGCTCTTACCCTTGCTGTGCAAGCCAGAGCATTAGAAAACAAGCCGGTCACTTTGAGAATCTCAGGGTTTAGCATGCCAAGGCTACAAACAGTGGATATAATCCTTGTTGTGGCCCCCTGTGGTAACACTTTGTCCTGGCAATGTGCTGCCATATCCTTCACACAGGTGTTTGCACAAAAGGCTTTTGCAGTTGCTTACAAAGCTTTTGCAATGGGTGGTGAGGAGGGGTGGTTAGCAAATTCCTCACCAGGATCACCATTTCTGTAAAGGAAGCCCAGAAAGACAGCTTTTAGAGCAAGACCGTGGTGGCAGAAAGAGGCACAAAAAGCCAGCAGACATTGAAATATACCTTGCCCCTGCAGAGTTTTAGAAAGTCTTTATCTCAGCATTATATTTGGTTATCTTTACAGCCACATGAGTGTAACATGGCATGGATCTTATTCTTTATTCCTTACAAGTGTTTAACAAGCGTGCTTGCATGTCTGCAGAGAGGGTTTTTCCTGCCTCTGTAGTATCATCTCTGTCCCAAATTCAGAGAAGCTACAAGTGGATAAGGAACAAATACTCACAGCTCACAATGATTACTTTTACAACATGAGTCACAAACAATATGTTCTGTCAAGGAGAGTTTGGGCTATTGTTTCTTCTTACTTTATTGCTGTCCCTAATAAAAGTCATTTAGTCTTTTTTAAACAAAGATAATTTGTTTTAATTTGTCTACAGAAAAAAAACCCACAACATAATGAAATTGATCCTCAGTGTGGCTTCTGTCCTGAAATAAGCATATCTGTATGGTTTGAAGTCATGCTCTTGCTAAGAGGACTTTTGGACCTGCCAGGAATTCAAAGCCCTGAAAAAATTGATTTTATTTTATTTATTTTTATTTATTATTTATTTTATTATTTATTTATTTTTATTTATTTATTTTTATTTATTATTTTTATTTATTATTTATTATTTTATTTAAATTTTTTCTTTTATTTCAAGCTAGCTCCTTCATTCTTAATAACTGCTGTTATTATCTCTGTTTGAAAGTTTTGTTCTGCTGCTATGTGTAAAATTGAGAATAATGAAGAATAAAATGTGTCATAATAGATTTAAGTATCTTGAAGTGAAATTTGAGGGCAATGGTATTGCCAAGTATTTGGAGGGACGCATCCTGCTCAGATGGGCAGGAACTGGAAATTCAAAAATCTGACCTGTTAGAGCAGAGTTTCTGCCTGCAACCCCCAGAGCAAAGAAGATTGACCAAGATCAAGAAGCCTTATGAGTCAGTGGTAGAGCAAGGCAATTATATTGGGCACTGTGACTGTAATATCAGCAAATTACAATTGATGAAGTGCCAACCCATTGTTATAATGTTTTATGGCAGCACGAGCACTGAAAGCTGTGATTAAGTAATATTAGGAGCTTTAAAATTCTTTTTACAGAGCAGCCAAGCAGAGTAATGAGGATCTTCTCCTGTTCTTCACAGTCAAAAAAGAAAGAAAAAAGTAGAAAGGAGGTCTAGGAGAAAGAGGGAGGAGGAGAATGGGCAGAGCCGATGGTCTCAGTGCCCTGCAGCATAGGTCCAGAAGACTTCCCAGGGAAAACAATTCTTGCAAGTCAGTGTTTAAAAAGAGTTCAACCAGAAGTGAAAATAAAACAAAATCCAAAGGCAAATGTACTTCTTAAAGAAAATAATGATTTTTCATTCCAAAATTATCTTTGCAGAGCAGACCATCCATTTAAGTTTTGTGCTGTACTACAGGATCTAGCAGTCATCCTAAAACAGCTTAACCCACACAGGGGAATGTGAGCACATTTACCAGGATCCCAGCTGAGGTTGTTGAGTAGTGTCACGGAGATCCATCTTCCCAGCAGCAGAAGGTCCTTAGCTGTATAACTTTGCTGAGGGTAGCCTTTAGTTAGCTTGCAAATGAATGCAGATGGTTTACACTTTCAGGCTGGATGGCAGATTTTCTCCCTTTTTTCTCTATATGCAGATTCTCATCAGCCATCTCCCACTATGCTGGTGTCCCCAGTGGCAGTCATCACAGCTATATTATTGAAAACTCAGATGTGTCCGCATCTGTATTTCTAGTTCTAATAGCTATTTTAACCATTTTCAACAAATCATTGTTGCCCTGTCCACTTCTTTTCTATGTTTTTTCTCTCCTCAGTCTGTTTGGTTTCTCCTTTCAGCTGCAGGACAGATGGGTCCCTATGGGACTCTCATAATAATTAATTTAACCTTGATGTCTGACCCATCATTTATTTTTGTGTGGTCTTGGTGGTAGCACACTCTGAAATCTTTCCAAGTATCTTTCATAAAAGCCTTCCAAAAAACCTGCAGCATTAGATGTTCATTAAATAGTAACATTTGTTTGGTGCCTTTTTCAAAAAGAACGTGCAATCTCTGTTTTTGAGGACTGACAAAATGGTTCATTTTAGCCTCGCAAGTATCATTTGATGTGAATAAAAATGGAAGCTTTTGAAAGGTGGGTAGATGGGAGCTAATGTAGATGATTTTAGAAAAGCTGACTTACTAAATCTCAGAGGAGCAAATTAATCCCAGTAGTAAGTAGGTGTAACACTAATGAGTTAAGAATTATACCCATTAACATCACAATTGATTTTTTTCT